AAGTAATTAACTGTTTCTTTTTTTTATATATATGTAATGATGGCAGCCTGAATGGATGGCCCCTGAATTCCTGCGTGGTGAGCCCTCAAATGAAAAATCTGATGTTTACAGTTTCGGTGTCATCTTATGGGAGCTCGTCACCATGCAGCAGCCATGGAACGGACTCAGCCCTGCTCAGGTCAGCTTAGTGATATCATAAATAATCCTTTTATTAATTTATTATATAAGGGAAAATTCTTTTTTAAATTAAGTTATATGGTTTTGTGGAATTTCAGGTTGTGGGAGCAGTGGCTTTCCAGAACAGGAAACTAACGATACCCATCAACACCCCTCCTGCATTAACCTCACTCATGGAATCATGCTGGGCTGAGTAAGATTTAACAACCCTTGCATGCCATCATCAATCTTTTTACCTCGTGAACCACTTGTTTTCTAAACTGGTTAATTAATTTTCCATGTGTTTCACAGTGATCCTGCTCAACGCCCAACTTTTAAGAGCATTGTTAACACTTTAAAGAAGTTGCTCAAGTCTCCAGCACAAATGGGACCTCCATGAATTCACGATCGACTACATTTACATTATCTTCTCTTCTCATCTTTCTTTCTTTGTTTTTTTTTTTTTTCTAACATTTTCATACCAAACTACCTGAACCTGCAAATGGTTCTATAAACATCTAGTTAAACTATCATAAATCGAAACATCCGCAAGGGGATTAACTAAAATATGTAAAACTTAATAGGGCTAGCTTCATGTTTATGGACCTAGCTAAGTAATCCATATAAGTTTCTTAATTACTTCTTCACAATTCCATTTGGGTATGATTCCTAGTAATGCATACATTTGAGAAACAACATTTAATTGTTACTTACTTTTAACAACTGCATGTTTGTTTCGAAATTGGATCTAAAAATAGGTTGCTAATGAAAGCGGGGAGTAGTTTTTAGGGTTCAATCGCTTCAACAAACAATTAATGATTCAATACACAAAGTAATAATGTAAAATAAAATAACAGCACGGTATTTTATATGGTTTACACGATTAGAATGATCGGCTCCAACCACAAATGAACATATGAAAAAGATTTTATATATATATATATATATATATATATATATATATATGTTATTGACTTTAAAAAATTATGGATAACGTCAAATCTTAAAATTCTGACAAATCTGACTATTACCTCAGTTTAGTATCAAATCTGATAAATGCATCACATTATTGGTCTGTCTAACGGCTATAAAATCAAAAGATGAATCATGTTCCACAACTTAACAATAGTAGATTTGTTTGGTTAAGAAAAATAAATCTTTTGTATTTAGTATAATTATAATCTCCAATCAACCAAATATTATTAATAGCACTTAAAGGCATATAGTTATTTTGTTAAATATTAATAAATCAAAATTTAACAAAACACATCCTACAAACCACCTGATAATATTCAAAAGCTGCAAATTAACTGTTAAAAAATAAGGGATCAGAATAACAATAAAAACAAATTTGGATAGATTCAAGGATCGTGTTTATCAAACACTTTCTGAAATCTGTAATTCGTCCCTTTTGCTTGGGGTACACAATTCAGAAGTGAGATAATCCAAGAATGAACCAATCTGAATTACAGGCCTAATTCAGATTGTGAAACACAAAATAATTGTTAATATGTTCTTGAGAGATAGAACAAATCTTAAATCAGATTTTGAGAGTATATGGTTTGTAACCCATTTTCTAGAACATGAAGAATGTTCCTATACCATTGGGAAAAGTGGGTATTGCATTTTTCTCCAGATTTGGCGCCAAAAACCGGTAGTTATTAAGCATAACTAACTTTTGCATCATCAAGATGTCATCAAGAAATGCATGGTTGGAGTCATACCCGATGTAAAAAACCGCTTTAAGTTTTGAGGTGTTGCCCCGAACCCCACCAGGGGTGCTGCCCCTAGAACCCGTCAAGGGGCTACAGCCCCTTGGAACCTTGCACCCAGGGGCGCTGCCCCCGGACTCCCGTATTCCCGAGTTCACATTTATCACTCTGAGTGTGCACCCCGCACCTCCTAACTCGGTTAGTAAATGGAGCACGACCTATCTCATTATTAATAACAATTACACCAAAATATGTTGATAACACTAAAATTACCAACATTAACATCAATCATCTTCATGTTTATGAGATGGAAGTTTATAGAGTAACAATCAAATGTAATCCACTTACTGCATTCTCAACAATTGTTTAGCTCGCCAACATAAGGAAAACAATGTAGGATCATATGCATGATAAAAATTGTAAATGATTCAATTTTAATAGGATAAATGGTTGCATAATTAATATGAACATTTTCTTCATAGGCATTAAAAATGATTGTATAATTATCCAATCTGAGCAATGACAATAGATAAGTTCTTTAAGAATCAAGATTGTTATGTTATTTCTAATATCCTGGAAAGTGAAGATATATATATTTTTTTTGCCATCAATAAACCTCCGTCCACTTTCAATATATACATATCTTTTTGACATTGTGGAACTGGTTGGAGAAGTAGGGAACAATCCATATTGAAATTATATTTCTAATTTATGCCACTTAATTTTTTTAATTTGGATAATCCATTTCTTCTTTTTTTTTTAATTCTTATATGTTACCATTTTCCACATACAATAATTTCCTTGTATTTTTCATATCACTCTCTTGTTGACTTTTTCATAACTATCTATACCAATCATCATGTATTTAGGCATCATCGGTGGAAATCACCAATCACGGTAAAAGTGATTATGGGGATATTATATATAGGCCAAAACAAGAAATAGGTTTTGACAAAACGGCAAAAACATGTATTTTTTGGGATTTTGGTTCAAATCCTGACTTTTATGATTTTGTGGTCTTTTTGAGCTAATTTTGTTGTGTTTTTAGTCCCTCTGAATAGTGAAATGATTGTAATACCCTTGGGCTATTTATTTTCTAATGTTCTTTCATTTCTTCTTATATCTAATACTAATTTATTTATTTTAATAATTAAAAAAATAAGAAGGGGCCCACCACAACTCCCCGTGAATCATTTTCCTAGTGAGAATGAAAAGAGTAAACCCAAAAAATCATTTTCCTCAAGAGCTCCCTTTTGATTAAGATACATATCGAAGGTGGCGTAAAACATATATTTGATCGGAAACTGGAAACTTGAACCGTGAGGCAAAAAACGATGGACATGGGTGTCGTTGACCTATCCACCGCCGCAGATGAAAGCAACGCCTCATGTCATCAGGGTTCGTTTTTTCTCTCTGGCTCAACACTTACCAACGACAATGGATCCATTCTCTAATTGATTCCACCGCCCCAACCCACCACCATATCGGTGACTACCAATGCTGATCTTCTTCCTTCTGCATTAAACCAGCCACAGTCGAAGGTTTGCTCAATCGTCGGAAACCATTGACGGAAACCCAAAGGCGTGGAAAACAGTGACGGTGGCGGTTTATCTCTTTCTCTAATTCTCTCTCGTGTTTTCTACTTCTTTTGAGGGGCCATGATATGTGTTTATTGTTTATGATTCATTGTTTAATTACGTGTTCATTTGTTCTTTTATAAAATAATTGTTAAATTGTGCTCATATAATTAATTTAACATAATGCATCCAGTAGTCATTTCAAAATGAACAACTTCTGTTGATTTATTTTTGCAGGATTGGTAACCCACCCTTGTGGGATTGTAGATGCAACAGTGGGGTTGCACTAATTTTTTATCTGTCAAATTAAATTGAAGACCACATTTGTTGTATTGTTTGTTGATATTGTAGTGCAATATATTTTTATTTTCCTTGGACAAAACTACACAAATGGTCCCTGTGGTTAGCTGAAAATTACCACTTTGGTCCAAAAAAGTTTGGACTAGCACCACAGGTTCAAACTTTTCATTTTGTTGCGAGTTTGGTCCAATATTGTTTGAACATTTTTATAAAGACGATTTTTCCTCTTATTATTTAATTTTTTATTTTTCTTTTATTACAACAATTAAAAATAAAAGAAAAATAAAATACCCTCTCTCTCTCTCTTAAAGTCTGTAACACCATCTTCTTTCATTTTCGGGGGTGTTTGGGATTCCTTTTTAGCCTAAAATGAAAAAACATAAAAAGTATATCAGAAAGGGCATTTTAGTCTTTTCAGATTTTCGAGGGACTAAAATCACAAACAAACATGGTCAAAATGACTACGAAGCCAAAAAAGTCGGGGTTTGGACTAAAACCCCAAAAAATACATACCACATGGACCATTTTTGCAATTTTGTCATGGGTTTTTATTGAACATTCATAACCACCTTTGTCGGCATTATTGGAACTTTGGAAGAGCTTGATATTGTTGGATGAATTAGGAGGCATCTTTTGAAAGCGAGAATAAATGGGGTTGAAATTGGAATAGAACTTAGATAGGGAAATGTTGTGAAAATTATGTTGAGCAAAGGGCCAAATTTATGATGCAAGCAATAAATGAATTTCACAAAAACTTTACAAAACCTCATAATAAAGTGGGCTAAAGATTTGACATAAACTAACTTCAAGAACTTTATGAATTGCACGATAAATCACAAAATCACTTTTGACCAAAAAGGTTAGTTCACTAATTCATATCATAAGGCTATTTTCATGAACTAAATGATTGTTTTATAATATAAACTTCAAATATGGCCATTTGGTGACATATAACTTCCATTTATGAAGAAAACAAAACATGGGAAGATATACAAAAAAACAAATATATAATAAAACTTATGTGAGTATTTAACAAAAAAACACTATAGCCATATAATGTAAAGACAAAATGATCAAAAATTAAACGTAATGAACTACAAATGCAAAGAAAAACAACAAATGGAAAGGAGTAATCCAGGAACAAAATCTGATTGCATGTGATGCCAATGGGGTCAATATCCAAGTAATTGTTAGAAATTACAAAATACCAAAATACAGGATTTTATATATTTCAAGCTCCAAAAAAAACATACACCCAATGAATTACATCATGACTATTAAATAACTCAAAATCTCCCTCAACTCATGTTATCACATGCAACCAAAACGTTTTCCCCATTTGACTGTAAATCTTTGACTTGTTCATTCACAACAAAAACACTTTCTCCATTCGCTTTCAACTCTTTCACTTCTTCATTCACAACCAAAACACTTTCACCATTCGAATCCAAATCTTTGACTTTGACCTCATTCTTACAACAAGGATCGTCGTCCGTTTTCACCACCCCATCATCATCATCGCCACCTGGCGTTCTAGCTTTCTTCTTTCGTCGCTGCTTAACAAATTTACTTTTTTTCCTTTTTTTACTTTTCACTTTGCCCTCTGTCTCCACAACCACCTGCTCAGGTTCCTTTCGTTTAGTGGGGACCACCGTATATAACGTATCCGTATCCGTATCCACCGGGTCGGATTGCCAATTGGATTCTGGCCCACTCATCTTTATAGCCAAAAGAGCGATTTTTGCAGCTTTAAGCTCTGCTTCCTTTTTTGTCTTTGCTGCTGTACCAATGTATTTGATTCCACCTATGTCAACAGTGCAATAAAACGGGGATTCCCTCCCCTTTTTTTCATCTTTCGTGCATGTGTATGATGGAATCGCAT